CTATTTAAAAAAAAAAAAAAAATACTGGCACAAAATTTAATAAAATAAAACTTTAAAAAATTAAAAAAAAAAAAAAAATCTTGATCCCTCTTAGCAAAAATTCTCTCTTTTGTAGAAAAGAAGACAACCGACAGAAAGGCGATGTAACAAGAACGACAAACAGTTCTTGGTTTTTTCCTGAATTGCCGTTCCCCGAAGCAGGAATATTCACCCTCTTGGTTTTCCCTCCCCGCCTCCCAAAAAAAGGTTAAAATCCTCAAATCCTCGGGAACACTGTCATTTCCTGAACTGTCAGTTTGTGTGCGAATAACACAAAAACCAAAGGGATCCATTTGATAATATTTTTTCTAAACACCAAGGGATGGGGAGAGGTTTGTTGTTTTGTTTTTTTTAAGTAAGCTACATTTTTCTGGCTTTCTTAAAACTCAGAATTTCACCCAAAAAAAGCCTGTCCTGGAGCTTTCGGGGGAAAAAAAAAAAAGCCCATCCTTCTCCGAACCAAACTTTTTAGGTTTCGGCCAAAAGTTTGCCTCTTCCGCCACCCTCTCTCCCAACATCTCAAAGCATCAAATCTGAGTTGCTCTTTAAAAAAAAAAAAGGAACAATAAAAATAACAGCAAAAATAAAAAAGAACCAACAGAAAAAGTCCTATCGACTCTCCAAAATGTCACAGGGTGATCCTCCGCCCCGGCCAGCCGCCTTCACTCATCGGCATCTGGCTTGACGTCCAGCATGGCGTGGAGCTCCTCGGGCGTGTAGCCCAGCAGGCTCTGCAAGTCGCAGACGAAACGGTAGACGTAGCGTTTCCCGGCTGTCTTGTGGATGATGTTCTTGTCGTAGTAGTAGCGCAAGCCGCGGCTCAGCTTCTCGTAGTTCATCTTGGGTTTGTTTTTCCTCTTGCCCCATCGCCTGGCCACCTGGGAGAGGGGTGGGAAGAGTCAAAGCGGCGAATGCACGTCACAGGGAAGGGAAGGAAAAGTCTTTCTGGCTTGGCTGGGCAGCCATCGGCAAGCAGCAGTGCCGGACACGAGGGAAGGGAGAGGACTTTCCTCATCTTTAAGATGGGCACGGATGGGTCACAAGCATTGAAGTTTGGGAAAACCAATCTCCATGCAATGGCAGAACATTGCAGAGGACTCTGAGGATATGTAAGTCAGGGAAGGGAATGAATGTCCCATCTGTTCCCCAAAATCAGTGGGAAGCCCCCCCTCTCACCTCTACACATCCTATTTGAAGAGCTTTGGCAATATGCCTCTCTCTACAGCGTTTCAGCTACTTCACACCAACTTTGGGCACCAATTACTGCTTCCGAGGTATTACTGCAGCCCAATTTTTAACAGGTTTTCAGCTGGGCTCTAATTAATTGTTTTTCCCTACGCATACCCAAGACCAGAACAATGTGACTGCCCAAATCTCAGCCCTGAAGGGAGGAGGGGAGGGTTATCCACACCAATATTTCAGCGGCATTTGGGCTGTGCACTTAATTCCAGGGCACTCTACCTCGTCTGGGTCGGAAAGTTTGAATTCCCAGCCATCACCCGTCCAGCTGATGAAGGACTGACAGGACTTGTCAGTAAGCAGTTCCAGCAGGAATTGCCACAGTTGGATGGGTCCACTGCCTAGAAAGACAAAGGAAACATGAGACATTAATGCCAGGAAAAGCACGGCCCTTTCTATCCTGGGGGGGGGGGGGAGAACATCCAAAGG